TGGCTTCTCTTATGTTCTTATGTTCCTCTAACAAGCTTAGGGCACTGTACGTGTCTCTCCTTGGCCCCATTTTATCCTCTCAACAACCTTGTGAGGTGGGATAGGCACAGAAAGAGAGAGAGAGGGAGGGAGGGAGATTTGTCCGGTGAATAGCAAGATTTGAACCTGGGTTGCTCAGATCCTGCCCCAGGGTCCCCACAACTTCTGACCCTCCCGGCGCTTTGGGAGCTCAGACACAGGGTGAAGACCGCAAGCACAAAATATCCGGGCTCAGCTTTTGCGTCACTCCAACAGTGACTCTTCAACATTTCAGGAAGAAATTCAGTTTAAAAGGATCCCTTTTTAAATGCACTCGTCTTGTTGACAAAAATTTCTTGCATGCACAAAAGAATAAGGACACATACTGAGTCAGCGAAGAAACCGTCATCTGGCAGCATCGGTCTTCGTTTTGCAGGCAAGTAACCTTACGTTAGTTACGTGAGCACACGCCCCACCTGGCCCTCCCCACCAGGGGTGGCCAAACCGTGGCTCAGGAGCCGCATGTGGCTCTTTCAGACATATTGTGTGGTTCCCGACAGGGCAGCTGGGGAAGCGAAGGGGAGGCATGCCTCCCCGATTGGTCTTCCCTTCCCCAGCCAGTGTTCCCCTCCTTGAGGAGGCTTGAGGTGGGGGAGAGCAAAGAAAGCAACTTTAAATGTGTTCTCAAAGCCCCCCCTCCACCAGCAGGCTTGGGGTTTTGGAGAACACATTTAAAGTTGCTTTCTTTCCACCTCTCCCTCCCTCCCATTTATTTGCTTTCTTTCCACCTCTCTCTCTCTTCCTTCCTCATCTATTTATTTTTCTTTCCACATCTTTTTTCCTTTTTTTGTCTCCCTCCCCCCTCATTTATTTGCTTTCTGTTTCTCCCTCTCCCTTCCCACTCTCTCCCCCAGCTATTTGCTTTGTTTCACTTTCTCTCTTTTTCCTTCCACCTTTCATTCTTTCCACTATTCCCTCCCTCCCTCCCTCATTTGCTTTGTTTGTTTCACTCTTTCTCTCTCTCTCCCCTTCCTTCCTCTCTCCCCATCTATTTCCTTTCTTTCCACCTTTCTTTCTCTTTCCTTCCCCCTCCCCATCTATTTGCTTTCTTTGTTTCTCTCTTTCCACCTCTTTCATTCTTTATTTCCATCTTTCTTAGACAGCCACACTGACTACCAATGGATCTGACAATAACAATTATGTAGCGCGACTTCAAAACAGTGACTTTTATAGGTTTCATAACTGTTTTTATTGTGTTTTTATAACGTTTCAACAAATCGTAAGCCTCCTTGAGTTCTGCAAGGGAGAAGGGCGGCGAACAGACATTTGAAATAAATAAATTGAATACAAAAAAAAGAGAGAGACTTGGACATTAGGACGTATTCCCAAGCTCAATTTCAAGCAACGGCCAACTCAGGGTAAGCTGGCACCTCCTGGTTTGGTTTCCATGGTTCAGCGACTGTCTGATGTGATAAGCAGCAACCACCTGCTGTGGCTCTCAGGGATGGCAGCTTCACGGCCCCTGCGGCCAGAGAAATGGCAGAATACAAACACCAAACTGTACAGGGCTTTAACGAAACCCAGCCGCCGAGACCAGCTTTCATGCACGGAACACACAGCCTGGAAAACGATCCCACGTGATGCCCTCTGCGATGGCCGCAAACTTTTTGTGCAGCGCAACAAACACATCCAAGTGAAACACAGCAAGGAAGTATAAGCCGGTTTGGGGGGTTTTTTTGGTGCATCGGGTTAAAAATAAAATACATGTGCACTGTGACAGGATGCTGGCTCTGAGGTTGGTCCCTTGCTGTTGGCACGCAATAGGAAGGATCCCAGTGCCTTCGAGAGGAAACTCTTGGCCAAGAAATAATACGCCTCTGGCAGATGTGTGTGTGCTAGCCAGATTTACACGAGAAAGCCTTTTTTTCTCACTGCCTTCTCCATCCCTGAAAAGTTCGTCCAGGGAATTCGATAAATGTATGGAGCAGAGGTCCATCAGTGGCTATTAGCCACAAGGTATAGATAGGGACTCTCAGTCTGGGGCAAGGGATGCTCTGTATGCTTGGTGCTTGGGGGGGGGGGGCAGGGTCGGTATGCAAAGGAAAGCGATGGCAAATCGCCTGAATTCATCTCTTGCCTCGAAAACCCTTCAGGGTCGCCGTAAGTCAACTACAACTTCGGGGCACTCTCCGCCACCGTTACAGGGGTGGACAAACTTCCCTGTGGTTAAGGGCAGGAAGCAGATTTTGAGTGCCATACGTAGCCTTCCCATCACAAATAAACTATGCATAAGGTTGCAGAATTCCAATTCCAGGGTGCGGAGTACTCACAGGCCTGCAGAGATGTTGAGATGACAAGGCGGCATCCTCTTACGAGAGCAGAAACACATACATTAGGATTCCCGGAATCCTTCACAGACGGTTCCTTCTACGAATCCAGCACCTGCGACTGGGCTGCAGCCAGCCACAGCAATTACAATATTTCATTAATTAATGCCTGTCACCACTGCATAAATATAAAGAGAAAGGGCAGAGGGAGGGAGGAAGGAAGGAATACTGTTTCGTACAATTTGGTTGGCTGTTTCCTTTTCGCTCAATTCGGTCCTTTGGCCCGGGCAGCCGTACGACTGCAGGGCTAGCGTCATCTATACAGCAAGTCCATTGGCGAATTAATTAACTCCTCTTATATTATTACACAACCTTATCTTCAATAAATCTTTGCTTTGTAATAAAATATCTTATTTAACATGACCGTTTCCCCTATTTTTTTTGTGTAAATATACATATACACAGACATCATACATAAAGCGTTAGTTCTGGAGCTCCGATGCAGGATAATTAAAGAAGCGCTTTACTTCCCCACTGGACGGGGAACCAAATAGCCTCGGCTACGCTATAGCTTATAGGACCCAGAGTCGTTTCGACACATAGCCCGGAATGACTCCACAACATACATATATAAGCATTTCTTACTTGGAGCCAGTGAATTTTTTTTTTTTTTAAAGTGGGCTACTGTATTTCACATGCAAGCCTCGGTCTGTTCTATATTGCTCATCTTAATTTTTTTTAAAGACTGTAAATGAAGGGGGGAAGGGAGAGAATAAGCTCCAGTCTAAGGGATTCGTAAGTTTATCTGACCTCCAACTGTACTATCTCTACTTTTAGCATATAGGTGGTGGGACAATTCCCAGAACAACTCCAGTTATCGTAAAAAGAGAGGGGAGCGCAAGGCTACTGTTTTGGTTTTCCATGCTGCAGGCCTTGGGGGGGGGGGAATACTCTTGGAGGTACAAAAAAGGGGAGCCCCGGTGAGAACAGAGGCATCGTCGTGGGGAGGGGAGGGAGCTGAACCGAGGTCAGAAGTTCGTAGGTAACAAGAGCCCTGTTTGGAAAACATTTGGGCTCTCCCACCCGCTCCCTTTTTAAAAGGTAAGGGTGTAAAACTGAGTAATCCTCCGGTTTTCAACCTGTCGATCTGACAGACAAGCAAGGCAGGGCAATGTGGAGGGAAACGTGGAGGAGAATCCTGACCTGACTTACAAAGCAGACATGAAACAATTTTGTCCAACTGGATTTAACAAAAAAAAAATCCATAAAAACTGATTCCGCTACATAAGGGGGGGGGGGAGGAAAGGGTCTGTGAGAACCACCAGGCATTTCACGCCCCTCGTGGTGACTTCGCCCAACAGCTGAGGCACCCCTTTCCCTGAATTAGGAGCCAAAGCGTACGCCACCCTTGAAACCCCCCTCCCAAAGGTTTATTTTTAAGAAGAAGAGATTGGATTTATACCCCGCCCTTCACTACCCAAAGGAGTCTCAGAGCGGCTTACAAACTCCTTTCCCTTCCCCTCCCCACAACAACAGACACCCTGTGAGGTCGGCGGGGCTGAGAGAGCTCTTGACAGAAACTGCTCTTTTTCAAGAACAGCTCTTATCAGAGCTACGGCTTGCCCAAGGCCATCCAGCCAGGTGCAAGTGGAGGAGTGGGGAATCCAACCCGGTCCTCCCAGATTAAAGTCCGCGCACTTAACCACTACACCAAACTGCGTGCAAGGGGATGAAACCCTCTCCGCCAGAAAAAAGAAGCCCACCCATTTTGGTTCAACGCCTTCTACGGGGGGGGGGGGGGTAATCCTCTCCTGTCTTTGTACTGGGAGTGACCCAGTGCTCAAATCGCGCTGGAGACAGAGATGGGGAAACGTTTCAAAGGTGATTTCTGGTGACGCAACTGCCACGTCCCTGGAACGGTGGGAGCTCCGTTGGTCTCAAAAGTGCCACCGAGCTCCGATTTTCTTCTGTTGCTTTAGACCAATACGGCTGCCCACCTGAATCTAGTTTTATTATGTAAGGGAGTTCCGCCTGTTTTGAGTTTTGGCTTTAAAAAGTGCAAGGTACGCACAAACAACTGGGAGGGCTTTTGACGTCCAGTGCGAGCCGAGGCAACCTGGGCGGCAGAGTGTCCCTACAGATAAGCTGGGAATGGTGAGAACGGGTCCCACTTACAACTTTGTTTCTTGGCTACCAAAAAGCAGAGCAAATCCTCTTCAGTGGAGCATGGGGGGGTGTGCTACTCGTATCACAAATGCCTGCCCAAACTGCACGAAGCCTGGCCTCAAAAGCTACCCGAGAGAGGTCATAAGCTGAAAGGGTTGTATCAGAGTGACTGTGCTCGACTAGTGCGCACTGGTTACTGTGCTTTGGAAACTGCAGTTGTGTGAGATTCCGTGTCAGATGTTTGATCTCCTATACCTCACTGAAATGCAGGAGGACACAGGATAGCCTACAGACCTCCGTCTGGTAGAACAGTGCTCATAGAATTCCCGCCCCCCGCCACATAACCTCAGGGAACAAAGACACGACAGGCCACCCAAGTAAAGGACTGGTACCGCGGCCGTTTGAAACCGGAGTCCCACTGCCAAGTGAACAAGAGCCACACAGGATCTTTTTAACACATACTCCCATGTATGGATCTGATCTCCCTGAATGAGCGACTGTTAATAACCCCCTTGGCTTCGAAGGACTTTCATGCTCAGTTCACAAGTATGCTGGAGGAGACAGGAGAGAACGTCAAAGTATCGGTGAAACCAATTGGGGGGGGGGGACGAAATTCACACACAAACACTCGGTCAGTTACCTCCTCTTAAAATCATTGCCGTCTGCACCGGATCCCGGTGTGCATCTCACAGATCCAGACCTGCTGCCCTGGGTTCAAGGAGTTACCTGGTACTTAAGGTAAGATCGAACCAAACCTCTACTGACAAACCGAAACGAAACTCCCCCGGCAGAAGTCCTTGGTGCGTGCGGGAGGCTGAGTAAACGTGGGCATGCACGCCACCCACCCACCCCGAGTGAAAGCAGCTTATTTGGCCTTGGAGTCCACATAAATGATGTCCCCATCCCGAATGCCGTAGGAGTGCAGCGCCCGCGAGTTGTACTTCATCTCCTCCGGCCCAAAGGGCGCTTCGTGGTCACAGTGGGTGACGAGCATACTGCTGGTCGGTAGCTGGACTAGCGTTTTCAACTGTTTCTTGAGTTCCGCTACCGTCTGATCCAGACGAACCGTCATCTCCTCCACCTGGTCCTTGAAGTGGACCTCCACCTTGGCACGGCTCCGAGGCCGAAGGTCGACTACTGCCAGTTTCTCCAGCTTCCCGTATTTTGTGACTAGCTCGTGATACCTAGGAAATGTGGGAGAGGGGGGAAACAAACAAACAAAGAAACCTGAAACAGGAATTCGGGTTGCGGGAATTTAGGGAAGGCCCTTGACTCTACTGCCTCCCCCAAGACCCGTCGTTACATAAGCTTTAGGGGGGGAAATGTTTGGGGATAGCGTATACAGGAACCGGAACTGGATTGAACTTCTGGGGACAGATTCAAGGTTTAGGTCCTGTCAGAAGCAGTAGAAAAGAGCAAGAGTCCAGTAGCGCCTGAAAGACTTAAAGTTTGTGGCAGGGGAGGAGCTTCCGTGAGTCACGGCTCACTTCTTCAGATACATCCAGGTGGGTAACTGTGTTGGTTGCTCAGCAGGAGAACAAAGTTTGAGTCCAGTGGCACCATTACGACCAACAACCTTTTATTCAAGGTATGAGCTTTTGTGTGCAAGCACACTTCTTCAGATACGGTGAAATGGAATTTCCTCAACCACTACATATAGAAAGAGAGAGGGTGGGGTTAGCTGCCAAGAAGGGCGGCATCTGAAGAAGTGAGCAGTGACTCACGAAAGTTCATCCCCTGCCACATAAGATCGGGCAGAGCGATCCCTGGCGACAGACGACTGCGGTGGAGACCAAAGGCGGCGCACGATGACATGCATTGTGAGCGCGGCCGAACCGATCAGGACAGAGCCGAGGCTGAAGCAAGCACGAAGGCGTGCACCGAGGAATGCTCCCACCGAGGAAGCAGCCGGCCCAGTGGAAAAAGATGCCAGAAAAACCGCCGAGAAGGAGGAAAAAAAGCCGAGCCAGAAAAAGACGCAGCGGGCCCACCACAGGGTGCTGGTAGGAAATCCCCACCCCATAGCATGTGGCCTTAGTTAGGGTAAATAGTTCTTAGAACACTCCTGTAAACCGCCCAGAGACCCCTAAGGGTTAGGGCGGTATAATAAGTCGAATAAATAAATAAATAATATATTGTTACGTCTTTCAGGTGCTCCTGGACTCTTGCTCTTTTCTCCTGCTACAGACAGACTAACATGCCTACCCAGCTTGATGTACCGTCTCAGGACTACTGTGCCGTTGAAACCCCATGTTCTCATGGTTCAGACAGACGACTGCTGCTGCTCTATATTGACAGCTCAAAAAAGCTGTCGTGTAAAAAAAAAACCCCTCTGGTTACTAGTTTCCAATGAGCGTCCACTTGCCAAGGCCCACAAGTGCCAGTTTGGTGTAGAGGTTAAGAACAATGGACTCTAATCTGGGAGAACCGGGTTTGATTCCCCACTCCTTCACTTGCACCTGGCTGGATGACCTTGGGCAAGCCGTAGCTCTGTCAGAGCTGTTCTTGAAAAAAGAGCAGTTTCTGTCAAGAGCTCTCTCAGCCCCACCTATCTCCCAGGGTGTCTGTTGTGGGGAGGGGAAGGGAGATTGTAAGCCGCTCTGAGACTCCCGTGGGTAGTGAAAGGCAGGGTATAAATCCAATCTATTCTCTCTTCTCTTTGCTCTTCTCATCTCTGCTGGCGCCATTCGGTGACTGAATTTTTATTTACTTTATTTAAATCCTACCTTTTCCCTCAGCGGGGGACCCTAAGCGGCTCACATCCTCCTCCTCTCCTCCGTTTTATACTCACAACCCCCCTGTGAGGTAGGTCAGGCTGAGAGTGTGTGACTGGCCCGAGGTCACCCAGTGAGCTTCCACGGCACGAGTGGGGATCTGAACCTGGGTTTCCGAGATCCTGAAACTGATGCACTGAGCTAGGCCTGCAGGCAGAGCTGATGCGAACCTGCTACAATGCCCCTCTGCCTGGCCGGCTGCCCTCACTAAACCCCTAGGGGAACAGCGACCACCTGCTGCCTCTCTTCTAGCACCCTGGGAAGACGGCTAACTGATCCAGACTTGAGAACATGACTTTAAGTCAACACCATACGGGCCTTTTGTCCACTTTACATTCATGCTGTGCACGAGAAGAAGAGAAGAGACTGGATTTATACCCCGTCATTCACTTGGAGTCTCGGAGCGGCTGACAGTTTCCTTTCCCTTCCCTTCCCCACCCTGTGAGGCTGTGGGGCTGAGAGAGCTCTTTTGAGGGCTGCCCTTGAGAGAACAGCTCTGGGAGAACTTGTGACTGACCCAAGGTCACACCAGCAGCTGCGTGTGGAGGAGTGGGGAATCTGGGTTCTCCCAGATAAGAGTCTGCACTCTTAACCGCTACATCAAACTGGCAGAAGCCCATTCGCTGTGGACCCCAGGTTCAGGGTGTTCTTCACCGGCAGTAAACTCAGAGCAACAAAGGAATGGGCGGTCAGGAATGCGCCAAACAAGCCCCTCCATGCTTCCGGAAATGCTCCTTTGCACAGTGCCCCAGGGCAGACACTGATGTCTTCTCTCCACCCCCAGCCCTGTGCTTCCTTCCTTTCTTGCAGGTATCTCTCCGATTAGGAACGAGAAGACAGCATCTCTTCTGCTGGGCTGGGAAAGTGGCAAAAAGTCAACCCAGAGAACAAGGTAATTGAAATGACAAAGGCGGAGAGCGGTGGAGAGAAGGTAACATTTCAGAGTCTCTAGGCGCTGCCCGGGGCTGAAAGCAGCTTTTGTCTGCCGTCCGGCTCGGGGGCTTAAACGTGATCACTGCTGTCTCACTGCCCCTGTCGGAGGATGATGGAGTCTGGCAACTGGGGAGGGAGGCCCCCCCCAGGGACTCATGTTAAATGTAGGAATGTTCCTTCAACAGCAAAGCCTCTGTCTGCCCGGAGCATGAGGTAACTGATGCAGTGCGCTGTGATCTCCCCGGCCTTCACTGGGGCCAAACGGACAAAACCGGCCTTCATCGGGGCCGAAGCTCAAACTACGCGGCCCCGCTCTCACAATTAACACCGAGATACGATCGGCTGGTTTGGGGAGGGGGAGCTCTGACTCGGGAAGACGGCGACATGATTTTCAGAAACGCTGCAATCGTCAATGGCGGTTAAACGGGTGGCGGAACGAGCGCGGATTCTTCCAGTGGGCGTTTCAGCACCTCCGCCGGTATCACACGCGTCACAGCAGCTTCCATGACTGACGCCGGGCCATCTCTGAAAGCCTTTAATTTCTTCTCAGTGGTTACTGCAAATCCTGTTATGGCAGACGCGGAAGGGGGTAAAGGCTGTCCCTGGATGGAGACAACAGCCCATCCTCATACAGGGCAGGGCATGGTTCTGGCATTTGGAAACAGCGTCGCTCTACACACCCCTGGCCCTCCAAAACCCCAAGGTTTGTGCATGGGAGGAATGGGGGTATACGGCACAAACTAAGGAGGAAGCAGTGCAAAAGGCAAAGAACTGAGGCTCAGGCATGCCAAAGGATTGTGTTCAGACCACTGGAAGAGTAATTTTTTTCTCCTGAGAACCCGGTCTTCCAAAACGAGACAGACAGCTATTTATAGAGAGCCCAGGGTTCTTTCCTTTTGGGTTCCGGCCTGTACCAGAGGCATTTCCAAGAACCTCAGCCCCAATCCTCTTTCATGGAAAGATAACGTAGAAAACCAGCATCTACTCAGAAACCAAAGAGAATGCATATTTGAATCCAGTGGGACCTAAGAGAACAAGAAGAATTTTGGGGTATACGTTTCGAGAGTGAAAGATCTGCCGAAGGGAGCTTTGACTCTTGAAAGCTTATACCCCCCCAAAATTCTTCTTGGTCTCTAAGCTGCTACCGGATTCAAATCTAGCTGTACTACAGCAGACCTCTGAAACTATCCCCAAAGACTAACAACATTTGTTGCCGGGGATGAGCTTTCGTGAGTCACGCCACAAATTTTGTTCATCTTGAAGGTGCTACTGGGGCTCTTGCTCTTTTCTACTGCTACAGGGAGACTAACACGGCTAACCAACGTGCTCTGTCCTCAAAGAGAATCTGTGTCGGGTCCCCCACTGGTCAGACAGAAGAGTTCGACGCACCGCGTGCTCTCTTCCTGCCACAGTAATTTTCGCCAAGGCTATCCTTGAACTCTCCAAGCAGCAAAACAACAGGGAGGGAAATTCAGGGGGATTCAGGCGGGTCTGTCGAATCAAGACTAGGGAGATGCATTTGCTTGTGACGTGGGCTGCGGCGAGAAAGGACGGATAAAAGACGGGCAGTGGTGGGGAAACGTTTTGCAGATCCGACACTGGACGCGAACCAGAGTCCGGGACACGGAACCCAAACTCGGTCATAGGGGACGGATCGCCCAGACCTGTGCAGCGCAGTCCGACGATATCCGGAAACAGCACACAGGCTCCGTGGAGTGGAAACGCAGCCATCAATGGCTGCACAAGTCTCCGGGAGACCCCGTACAGATGAGGGCGTTTGGACAAAGAGCCTATTGAGAAGCGAAGGGTGGGAGGGAGAGGCAGCTCTCTTTGAAGGCCGTGACCTAGGGCGAGGCCAGACACAAGCTCCCCTCCCCTTCTAAACCCCACCTGTGCGGAAGGGGCAGAAGCGAATTGCTGGGAAGTAAACAAGACTTTTTTTTGCAAAGAGAGTTACAAAGATTCGGTATTAGCATTTCAGACTGGCACATGCGCTGTTGCTATGGCAGCAGGGAATCTGCCATGACACCCACTCTGGTTTCTAATATCATGCCCCCTCCCCCCCAGCCTCCGTGTCAGGTATTGCATATACACACACACACAAAAAGGCAATATACAAACGCAGTGCGGAAGGCCCCCTCCACACACTGAGGTCAGTAGAAAGTATTATGTTCCCGATGTAAATCATGTGCAGAAATCCTACAAAACCATCAGCTCGTTGAGACCTTTCCTCCCAACACATAGAGTCCTTGTCAACTCGTGAGACCTTTCCTCCCAAAGGGGCTGCAGAACACATAGAGTCCTTGTCAACTCGTGAGACCTTTCCTCCCAACAGGGCCACAGAACCAACCAACGGTTCTCAGCTCGTTGAGACCTTTCCTCCCAACAGGGCCACAGAACACATAGGGTCCTTGTCAACTCGTGCTGCATTTCCTCCCAAAGGGGCTGCAGAACACATAAAGTCCTTGTCAACTCGT